TAGGGCCTACAGGACCCACAGTAGGCCTACGAAGGCCTATATATAGACCTCTCCTCTCTCCTATAAAATAATTCCTTTCTTTCTTTCCTTAAGGGCTAAAGTTTAAGGCTAAAGCCAAAGGCAATAAAGGTAATTTTTATTTTTTATACCTTACTATATTATAATGCTTTACTTTCCTTCGGCACTGCCGTTATATCCTCCTGCTTCCGCTTGCGCACTGCTGTATTTTACAGCAATTCTGTATAGGTTCTATATTATAGGCCTATTAGGGCTCACTAGCTAACAAAAATAACTGTTAATAATTAGTTCGGTGTAGCTAAACAGTGTATAATAAGATATTTTAATTACAATAGTTAAGATACTACGATTGTGACTTATATTTATTAATGTGTGGGTACTACTAAGTGCCCTATTTACTGCCCTACAGATTAATATTACAGTGGGCAGTATTGCTATAAGCAGTAATGGAACTTCCCGGCTTGGATCCCTTTAGAATATTCTTTATAAGGGACCCTTGAAGGCTTACAGGGCTACTGTAGCCTAAGGCTTAATTAATAGATACTAAAACCTTCTAAAGTGGCTACAGGCTTACGTAGTAAGTTGTTACAATAGTGTGATTTATAGGGCACCTCTGTTACCGAAGGTTTTATAGATTTCCGTGAGTTTACACTAGACCCACCTAAGCTTACCAAATACCCTAAAGTGGTATAGGGGCTTCCAGGGCCTACAGGACCCACAGTAGGCCTACGAAGGCCTATATATAGACCTCTCCTCTCTCCTATAGAATAGTTCTCTTTCTTTCCTTAAGGGCAAAAGCTTAAGGCTAAGGCTAAAAGCCAAGGCCAAGGGTAATAAAGGCAATTCTTATTCCTTATACCTCACTATATTACAGTGCTTTACCTTCCTTCGGCACTGCCGTCGTATCCTCCCGCTTCCGCTTGCGCACTGCTGTATTTTACAGCAACCTTGTATAGGTTTTATATTATAGGCTTATCAGGGCTTACCAGCTAACAGTATTATATATTGCGGAACTATCTATCTATATTAGCCAGTTTTTCCGTATATATAGACTAGTGGACCGTGGACCGTTAACTTATAGACGGTCCTCGGTCTACTCTTGATTAGCCGATACTGGACCGTGGACCGTAAGCCCCGCCGCGGTCCCCGGTCTCCATCTTATTGGTCCGTTCCGTCCGCTTAAACCGTAAGCCCCGCTCGATCGCTCGGTCCAGCCCTGATTGGTCGTCGTGGCCCCACTGTCTTCCAGAACCGTAATATACCGTACTTAGCTTTAATATTTTATATAAGCGTAAACTACTCGGTAATAACCTTTATATCCTCGCACTTAGCTCTTTAGTAATCGTATCTACGCGTAAAACGCGTACGGAACTATAGTTAGCGTTTAACGAAGTTATATGGCCAGAGCTTACTAATAGGAGGCGCGTCGCGTACGTGTAGCAATTAGTTAGCTATATCTTCCACACCACGTAATCTTGGTAGGAAAGCTCGCGTATATAGCTTAATAACGTATTAAACAATAGCATCCTCTTCGGATTAAGTAAGCTTCTTCGATTTGGGCGTAGTATCGCGTCGTGCAGGCCGGCCAGCGCGCCGACGCCCTAGAGTCTTACGATCGACTCCATAGATCTTGGCTGCGGCTCGTTCGCTTAGATTCTTATCGTTTTGAAGCGCTTGGAGGGCTAAAATTATGTGGGCTTCATTTGAATTAGAAGGCATCTTGGATGGTTGAGGAAATTGTTATTGAGTGCGAAGGTGCCATATTACGAAGGAAGTGGGTCACTCGCTTATATGGGTCACTCGCTTATAACATACGTTAGATGAAGATCACTGACTCATACATTACAATAGTAGATACTCAGCAACCCTTGACTCAGTGGATAGGTCTAGACTTAACGGTGTGGACATCTCCAGCCAACTTTTGACCTTAGTCAACTTATATGTCATCCACCTCAGCCCCTTTTCTTTCTTCAAGTCAGAAAGTGGCAAACACAATTTATCCCTCCCATCCTCCCCCCAAAAAGCATCAGCCGCCCTCTCCCACACTTTCGTCGGCCCAAACACCATCTCTTTTGTGTAGTAAAAATGACAGTAGTTCGTCTCATTGACACCCCCAATGACACCCTCATTCCAACTCAGAAACTGAATCGGAGTCTCCAAATTGTCAAGCGAAACAAAATCATTCTTCCCGTTGAGCGACCCTGCCGCCTCACCACCACCGATCCCCGCCAATGACCTCTTCATTGCGTACCGCTCGGCCAGCAGCAGCAAATCCTCGTTTTCGGTCGAGTTGGTTGTGCTGTTTAGCTCCGGCGAGAGGACCAAGACCGCTTTGGCTGCCTCGTGCAAATTGGAAAAGTAAAAGATTTTTGCACCTGCCACACCACCCACGGCCTGCATGGGACCGGTGCTGGTGTTGTTTACTGTTCCAAGAGCAGGATCAGGTCGGCCGCCGACGACAACGGTCCTAATCTTGGCGTTGTTGGTGCCGTTGACGCTGTAGAGGAGCCTTGCCAATGTCGCGCAGGTAGAGCTACAAGCGCCGTCGGTGAGGAGGACAGTATTCTCGACTGTGAAGGGGGAGGGAGGGACATTGGCTCCATTACCTGCGCCGGTGATGTTGAAGACATCTTCGGTTTGGTTCCAGGGATGGTACTGGTATGCTGTAAAGGTGTCGTTTTCGAGGATTACTGGGCCGAGAAGGGCATCGGAAGTGGTGAGGTTGAGGCCGGTTATAGGGGAGAAAAGATGGCCGGGGATGAGCTGTTCAACCATGCTGTTCTCGTGGAGGCTGCTCAGGGCTTTGAAGCGGGCGGGCTCATCAGGGTTGGGTTCGTCGAACGTGTTGGCGTCAAAGTTTTTGATTTCCACTGCGTCGGCACTTGAGACGTTCGATATTTGGACGACGGACAGGGTTTCGCGTATGTTGTTGGCACTGAAGGCTGTGTGTTGGGGATAGCTGGAAGATGTGTTAACAGACGAAATGAGAGCGATCATTGCCGGGATACCAACCTGAGCAAAGAGCTCGTAGGCAGCTACAAGGCCACCCCCGTTCTCGCTAACGTCAATGATCAACTTTGTCTTATTCTGCTCTCGAGACTTCGCAAGGAGGTTGGCGATGGTAGCTTGAAAATCCACCAAGTATGCCATAGGATCCATATCAGGCGGGGATAATTCCGAAAGGGCAAGCACAACTACATCGTCGTATCCCGTCCCATTCAGAAAGTAGCCGGAAGTTATGTTGGAACCATTGTCTCTAACAGCTGGCCAAGGATAGTTGCTAATTGTTGGGGAGAGAGGCGGCAGGGTATTTGTACTGGACACATCGCTTGTGGAGGTATCGGTACTGGTCGAAGTTGGAAATTGTGGCGGCATTTCGGTTGTTGCTGGTGGTTCAACATCTATCGAAGCGTCGGGATCACAGAAACTTGTGTAAAAGCCTTCGCCAGTTCGCACACCAGTGAAGTTTGCTCCCATTCGAACAATGGCACGGACTCTACCGTGACTTCCTGGCCATTTTCATAGGTCAAGGTTAGATTTTGTCCCTGGTAATCCATCGAGTTTGTAAGCAAAGTGCGATGATGAGGACCGGCGTAAGAGGGCATTCCGGCATTCCACATAGCATCAAGACTTTGGAAGTCTGAAAAACGAAGCTGCTGTTTCATCACATCTACAGCGTCCTTTTCATTGATTGAACAATCGCGGGTGGGAGTTGGCTTCCAGCCAGCGTCCCATTTGAGCTAGTGCCAGATAGCTAAGCTAAGTGGGTGTTAGTCTCATACTTCAAGGCATCCATGATGGGCGCGAAATACTCACATAAGTGGTAAAGTTTAGGAGTCGCAGTTCCGTTTACACTGATCGTGACAAGATCCTGCACTAGGATATTCGCAGAAGAAACCCCTGAAGACATCGGAAACAAACCTGAAGTGGCCGTCATGGGAAGCACCAATGAGTTCATAGATGGCCATGGCAAAGTCGTATTCGCTGGCATATTTCTCATCCCCAGATACTCTGCTGGCGATCTTGTCTAAACCACCCATGATGTCAACGGCTGCCAGATCGTACGACTCCGGTGGGCTTTTCAACCAAGGTAGAGTGCTTTGCCATTGCACAAAAGCGCGAAGGCTCTTGATCAACTTCAAAGCTGGTCGGGTTTGTTGGGCACTGTCATCAAACATGAGATGGCAACTGAAGCCGGCACGGAAGGCGTTGCTACTGTGGGTCAGTGTTTGTTTTCTGATGTATATAATTTTATCTGACAGCTCACCCATTGGGCTTGCTGAGAGCAGCGAATCTGTGATGGAGGCAATGGCTGCACAGGCCGTGGGAACTCCTGTCTGAGAGCCATCGACATCGGATGTACCTTGAGGAGCAAGTACAGCATTAGCGCTGTAGAATCTTGCAAAGCAAGAAGCTAATAGTGTCCAGTTTCTGAAGATCATGTTGAGCTGCAACTACAAGCAAACAGAGTGGTATGTTCCCATAGCACCAACATGGCTCCTCGACGCACCATTTTCTATATTTCAACCACAGCGGATCGATGAAAACGGCACAAGGGCAATGTCAACAAATGCCTCGGCGCTCCAAGTTGTTCTCATAAAGAACATGGTGCAGTCCCGAACAATGGGATTCATCGCGATGACGCAGAAGACCTTGACACAAAGGACTTCAACAATGGAGCTCTGCGGATTGAAAGTTGCCGATGGCCCGACATAGCTCAAGAGCCGGGATAGTTTTCTTCCTCGGTGATGTTTGGCCATTGCCAGTCAACAGTATACTGAGCTTGTGCTAAAATGTAGCTGAGGTGCAGCTTCCCAACCAGGAAAGTGTCCCCTGATCCAGGGGACACAAAAGAGAAGACAATGCTCCACCAGAAAAATTTGGTGAAAAGCAAAGGTCGTACCCGGAATCGAACCGGGGTTACCAGAATCAGAATCTGGGGTGCTAACCGCTACACTATACAACCATAGGATGTCTTGTTGAAGTTGAGGTGCGAATTAACCATACATAACAGGAACGTACTGGTGTGATTACCACTGTTCAGGGCCCATCAGCGCTGGGGCTGATGCTAGAGTTCGAGGGTGTTTGCCTGTAGGCTGCATCTAAAAATGAGTTAGATCTAGACCAAGCGTTTGTAATCGTTCTGGAGGGCTCCCAGAGTGGTATTTTGGGCAAATTGCCGAATGGTCAGCAGGAAAACAACAGCGAAGAGTGAACTGGAATGTCGATGGTTGAAGTTGGCAGTGTTGGATGCTGCAAGGGACCAGCCAGTGAGCGAAAAGAAAGAGCAGGGATAAGCTCGCCCGCCAAGCTTTGTGACATGCATGAAGTGGAAACCTATCCGGAAAGGGTAGGCCGGGTAGACCGCAGATGCGCGGGGCAGCGTCGTGACTGCACTCGCCGCTGGCGCTGTGTACTGTACCTGAAGAATTCTATGACACCAGCAGCATCTTCAGTTGCTTGACAACAGCACAACACCAAACCAATTTCCCCGTCATCTCCGACAAAATGTCGAAAGAACAGCTTTTCCAACTGCTGCCGATGCCAGACGATGGCCTGCAACAAGTCCTCGAATATGCCGCCACCCTCTCCAAGCAAGAAGCTGCTGAACATTTCTCCAACATGCTCGGCGACTCGCCCCAAGTCATCGAGTTCATTTCGACATTCAACGCACGACGAAGCGATCCAAAAGCACCACCGCCACCAATAAACGCACCCACGTCCACGCCCACGTACTCTTCCGCATCGACCGCCCAAAACTCAGCACAAAACTCTGAAGCTGACTGCGTCCCAAAGCCCCGTCGAGGTCCCAAGAAGAAGAAAGCAAATATCCATACCCCGCCCCCTAGACAAGTCGCCTCGTTTGCGCTTGGGCCAGGAACTGTCTACAGCAAGAAGGACTCGCAAGATGAATACATCTCAGCACGATCAGGCGCTTCGACACCCTCACACGCCACCAGTGGTCCCAGCAAACCACCACCCACCAAGACTGCCACACCTCCTGCGACCCAGACCTCGAAGCCTCCTCCCTCCGCGTTAGGATCCCTAGTGTCGGACCTCGGGCAACCCAAATCCAAAAACAAATCCAACCCTACCTCACGGACTTCGACACCCGGACCATCGTCATCGAAGAATAACAATGGGAATACGGCCAAGGTCACCATCACAGGAGGCGTGGCGATGCATGGCTCGTCTACGGTCCTGAGCGACCTCGACCAAGCCATTCGGTCTCTCGAGATCACCACCAATCCCTCACACTCAACAAATAGCGCCGAAGGTGTGGCGGCACGACGGTGTAATTGCGTTGGAACAAGACATCCTCCCCTGGCAGCAGCCCCGAACTGCCTTCATTGCGGCAAAGTCATCTGCATCAAGGAAGGGCCCGGACCATGTACATTTTGCGGGCAACCATTGTTGAGCTCGGCTGAGATACAAGGCATGATCAAGGAGCTTAGGGCAGACAGAGGACGTGAGAAGATGGCAGCGGATCGGGAAGCGCATAAGAAGGCCGAGGTTGCAGGGACCCCACGGCCGTATACCAAAACCAGAGATCCCACCATCGCCGAAGCGCAAGCTCTAGCTCACCGGGACAAGCTGCTAGCATTCCAAGCTCAAAATGCCCAACGGACGACGATACGGGACGAGGCAGCTGACTTTGATGCCACTGTGGGAGGAAGCATGTGGGCCACCCCAGAAGAAAGGGCGTTGGCGTTGAAGAAGCAACAAAAGCTCCTTCGAGAAATGGAATGGAACGCTAAGCCTGAATACGAGAAGCGCCAGCAAGTCGTGAGCATTGATCTCGCAGGGCGTAAAGTATTCAAAAAGATGGCCAAAATTGAGAGACCCCCAACGCCTGTTGATGATGTCGAAGATGACTATGGCTATGAAGCTCCCATCTTGCAAGGCACCCACGTGAGCAAGGGGCAAGGCGGCGCTTTCAGCAAGAACCCACTACTGAGTGGAGTAATACGGCCGGTCTACGATTTGAAGGGCAAGGCGGAGGAGCTTGAAGGTAGGAAAGACAGGGCCATTAAATGGCGAAGAGTCCAAGATGATTTCGAGAACAACGAGGAAGTCATTCTCGGTGGCGGCATTTACGGTGGGGGTCAAGGCGCCAGAGTGGGAGCAGTTGGCGATGAGCCAGAGTGTGGTTAGCCGTATCAATGACAGGAATATTTGAGTGCTAATCTTTAATGATGGCTGCTTAAACGGGTCTTGGGGAAGGATGGGGATCACTGCTTTCACATTGGCTTTGGGGGTATCGATGACGTAGCACACCAATCCTAGGCGTCACCACCATCTTCCCAGGGGCAACAAAGTCAACGGCTGCACTGGTAAATAGACCATGTCCGCCCGTGTTGTCTCTGACTTTGGTGTAATGCTATCTTACTATCCCATGCTTTTGCAAGATGCCTTCAGACAACCTCAATTTCCAATGCGCGCTCATCACAGGGGGTGGTGGTGGCCTTGGTAAAGCGCTGGCCTCCTATTTTATATCCAAGGGCAAGAAAGTCATCCTCGCCGGCAGGACAAAATCCAATCTCGAGTCTACAGCGAAAGAAATCGGAGCGACCGACTACTACGTGCTCGATACGGGGAAAACATCAGCGTTTCCAGAATTCGTCTCCCTCGTCACGCAGAAGCATCCGGAACTCGACTGTCTTGTGAACAATGCTGGTGTTCAGAAACCTTTGGAGGTCTCCAAACTGGACCCGAGCGAATTCCTGTACAAGGCAGATGAAGAAATCAATGTCAACATCCGCGGTCCCATGCACCTCACCTTGCAGCTGCTTCCGCATTTCCGACTCAAGCCGGCAGCCATGATTATCAACGTCAGCAGTGTGCTGGGGTTTGTGCCGTTCAGCATCATCAACCCGGTGTACAACGGGACGAAGGCATGGCTTCACTTCTGGAGCATGAACCTGAGGACTCAGCTGCGGGACGAGCCGCAGGCCAAGATCAGGGTGGTTGAGATTGCGCCACCAATGGTTGGGACGGATTTGCATCGTGACAGGGAGGACCCGGATGATAACAAGAAGGAAAAGAACCCGATTTCATTGACGGTGGAAGAGTTTATGCAGGAGGTGGCAGAGAAGATGGAGAGAGGGGACGGTATGATTACTGCTGGGCCGATGGGCAGGGAGATTGTGGGTGCTTGGTATGAGAGTGACAAGTTGGGGAAGGGGTATAAGAAGATTGAGGAGGGGGGCATGTGAGATTTCGGCTTGTGTACCACTGTGCCTGTAGATCAAGCTGATATCTCTGCCGGCGAATAAAATTAGCGTACATAGACATGTGTGATGACAAGGAGAAGGATCTACCAGATCTTGTGCAACCACCAGAGCTGGGCAGTGAGTGGCTGCCCGCTTGGCCCCCATTGTTCCGACAGTCTTCCAGAAACCAAGCCAACGGTAATGCTGGTCTGTGCGCTCGGCACTAGTGGGCCGGGGAAGATCCACTTGACGAGTTGAAGGCTTGGCAGAATTCAGGGTCCCGTCGAGGACGTTGTGAGGGAAGTGCGTTGCTTGTGGGACATGGACTGACAATGGGGACAGTGTGCTTGTGAAAGACAAAGTATCAATGATTGCTCAGGGGGATGTTCAATCCGTACGTACAGCTCCCTTTGCCGGTCTGTCAGTCCTGACAAGGTTTCTCTTTACAGTGTCCTCGAGCTCTGCTTGGCAGATATCTGGCAGGGAAGTCATTTTTGTCGGCTCGTGGCTCATGGCTCGTGCTCCTTGCAGAGTTAGGTCTCCGGCGCGCCGTGTATCCACCTGCCCACTTCTTTCCAGCGGCCGACAACAAAACGTTGATTCTGGACGCCAAAGACTGGCGCGGCTTTCCATTTTGCGGACGGGCACTGCTGTTCTCGCTCCAAGCTATCGTTACCCACGACTCCTCGATCCTTACCACTCCGAGCCAGCTCTGTGTCGCGCTCCTCTACCCCGCAATCCTCCCATTGGGGACGCGTTTAGCCAGCTCCGAATCGCTGCGAATACCGCCCACGGCACAACCCTCGAGTCGAGTTCGCGATTGCCCGTCACCTGCACCGAAATCGAAGACTCCGCGCGCCGAGGTCACACACTCGCTACCGCCAACGCAATACTCTTGTTTCTTCAATAGCCTTTGTTCAGATATGAATCTTTAACTTGACCGCATTCCTGCATGTACCATCACCGCGTTCCCAGCTGGGCGCCTTCTTTGTGGTGGAATCAATTGCACACAACCAAAAGATGCCAACAACACACGTTGAGCCGGGGTCGGAAGCCCTGCTCGAGGAGATAGCCAATTCGTTATGGAAATCCAAGAAAGTTGTCGTTATCACGGGCGCCGGCATCAGTACAAACTCGGGCATTCCGGTATGCAAAACGGGACGCGTTCCGCCCGACCTACACTTCGCTGACAGCCTTTCTAGGATTTCCGCTCAGAGAACGGTCTGTATTCTTTGATCCAAGCACAGTTCGATGCTGCCGAAAAGCAACAAGATCACCCCTCGAGCGCTAGCGACGCGTCAGATTCTTCATCAGAAGAGCGTCCGACGAAACGACGAAGGGCTTCACACGATCTCTCCCGACCGATCGACGGTACCGAGTTACCAGGCCAATGGCCTCATAACACTGCTCAAAACACAATAAAATCAGAAAAAGGTCATGGAGCTGTTTCCGTCAACCCGGAATCGTCAGATCCCACCGATGATGACCCGTTAGCACAGCCTGCAACACCGCGAGACACATCGGGACCACAGGAGGATGTCACATTGAGAGACGTGGAAAATTCGGAGCATGCGCCAGGGCCGCCCACAGTGGAATCGGCAAACGCTTCGTTTGGCGCTGAGAAACCGGTCGAGCCTCCGCTATCTAGAGGCCTGACGCCGTTGCCGAGTCCTAGACTCAAAGTGCCCGAAGGTCGCCCCGAGATCACGCCTGGCCGCATAATGATGGGACCTGGCCCATCGTTCACGTCATCTCCTCCTAGTATGCCCGTTGATGCGCCGCGTCTTCGTTCTAGACCAGACATGCTGGCACACACAAGAAGCTCCTCGCCGCTCTCGTCACCGCCTCCCATTTCTTATGACCCTTATCAGGAGTCACCAGAGGGGTCGTCATGCTCGTCGAGCGGATCATCATCTCGGTCAGAGAGTGAGGAGCCCTCTTCCGTGTCCACGCCACTCCTCACATCGCAAACGTGGTACGCCTCCTCTGGTCGAACGTCGCTACCACACATGAAAGGCAAAGATCTTTTTGACGCGCAAATCTGGTCTTGCCCACTCAAGACGTCTGTCTTCTACACATTTGCGACCACGTTGAGAAACAAGGTCCGCACCGCTCAGCCTACGAACAGTCATCGGTTTGTCAGTGTCTTGCGGGATAGCAGAAAACTGGTCCGGTGCTACACCCAAAATATTGATCAGCTTGAAGAGCGCGTCGGTCTTTCAACATCGCTCACGTTGGGCGCTGGAAGCCGCTATCGTTTTTCCGCCAGAGCAGGACGCAGCTCTGCTGTGAGCCGGAGCTTGCCGAAAGGCCCCGAGGTCTCGGATCTATCAGGGGATGGATGCTCTCAGCAGGACTTGGGGCAGCCTCCCGCATCACAGACCGAACCTGAATCACAGGAATTGAAAGATGAATCTGGCAATGGAGAGCCTGAGGGCAAGCAGGAATATGATGGGTCTGGGTCAGACTCCTCGCAAGCGGTTCCTAGCTCATCACAGCCCCCATCTTCACAACCTGTGCCATCAGGACCAAAGCGTGGTGTCGAGTGTGTTTTCCTACACGGTTCCTTGGCAGAACTGCGATGCTTTGTGTGTGCGAAAACGGCAACCTGGGAAGACGAAGAACGGCAAGCTGAGACTCTGGCTGGTCGCCAACCCACCTGCCCACATTGTGCAGGAGCAACAGCAGCTCGGGAAGAAAAAGGAAAACGTGCCCTTGGCGTTGGCAAACTCCGACCTGACATTGTGCTCTACGGCGAAGAGCATCCCCATGCTCACCTCATTAGCCCTTTGGTGCAACATGACTTATCGTTGGGTCCAGACATGCTGCTCATCCTTGGCACCAGCATGCGTGTCCATGGGCTAAAGGTTCTCGTCCGGGAATTTGCCAAGGCGGTACACGATCGGGGAGGAAAGGTTGTGTTTGTGAACTTTACAAAGCCACCGGAGAGTGTGTGGGCTGATGTCCTCGATTTTTGGGTGCAATGGGACTGCGACGCTTGGGTCGAGGATCTCCAACATCGAAAACCCGCCCTGTGGCTTCCTCCCGGTACTGTCCTCCCAGATCAAGTCAAGGTCAAAGGGGCTAAGGGTCCACGGAAGCAGAGCGGCGGTGAAACAGGCAAGCGAAAGGAGCCAGCCGACACGGCGTCTAAGAAGCGCAAAGAGGTGAATGGACCAAGTCGCAAGAAGCAGAAGCGCGAGATCGATGAGGTGGCGGACTCGGTCATTGTAGCACTTGATCCGGCAGATGTGCGAGAGCCCTCTCCTCCGCCAGCTTTGGAGGTGCCAGTCATACCCGTCACACCACCAGTACCATCGCCGCCGGCAGCACCTCCTGTTCGACCTGAGGTGGTTCGCGAAATCCCACGTCTTCGGCCAGAAGCTCCTCCTCGGCCGAGAGAAATGGCCATGACGACCGATAGGCTTCCTCCGCCAATACCTCTGCCAGGCCCGTCGCCGTTATCCATGTCAATGACCATATCGCCGCCTCCTAAGCCAACACGATCAGCTCCACCATTACCTCCCGCAGCCCCAGTTATCCCCGAACTCAAGCCTATTCCACGACGGCCGGCCAACAGGGTCGTCGCACGCGAGCCCAAACTGAACCCCGATGCAAAACGACCTGCTTCGATACGAGACCACAAGCTGAATGGGGCCTATCTTACCTTTAAGATACTGGGTGATCTGAAAAGGATTACTGGCGAACCACCAGTTGCGTTCTACACACCTTCCCCTAGTCCGGTTGCTTCGAGGCCAAAGCCAAAACGGGCTCGCAAGTCAGCGCCTAGTGCTCTTCAGGGCGTTGGCCTAGAATCTGCAGACTCCACTTTGATGATGGAGGATGACGTCGAAGCTAATGACTCGAGGGGTCTAGCTCACGAAAGTTCAGAGGTTAAGGATGAACGGGTCACCAACCCCATGGATGGAGCGGTTGGCGTCCCCGACATCCCTGTCAGCCAAGTAGTGTCCTCGATATCCGCCATGGTCAAGAGCCGGAGGCGGAAGCGAACAGCATGGCGGATGATACGGGGTGTGGAGACGCAGGTCTCACTGGATGACAACGGCGAGGTGGTGCTGCCTTTGCCGCTTCCTCACACCGCCGCTACATTCAGACCTTTACCTAGCCCTTCGTTCCGGGCTCTCCCCGAACCTAGACCAACACCAGTGGCTTCTCCCGTGACATGTCAACCAAGCTCTAACCCTTTTGCAAGCATTGAAAATGGGTTCCAGGACACGGATAGACTTATCGACAAGCTGCGGGAACAGTCACGGCCGAGCACGCCTTTGCGCTTCCAGTTTCCGCCGCTGAACATCCCCGCCCCCACCGAGCAATCCCCACCAAAGCTCGAGACTTTGGAGCCCAAGGTGACCTCACCTGGCCCGCTCACAACCAACAATGTGATGTCGCCCATCTTTGCCAAGCCAAGGAACCCATTCTTCTTTGCAGACCCTCTGGCTGGCGGCCTGGCCTTTCCACCAACATGGCATCAGCATCAGTTCCATCACCATCAAGCAACGACTTCGATGGAACGGACCACCTCGCAGCAGAGCGCCACATCCCACCAGAGGAGAGGGTCTTGGAATCCAGAGGACCAATTGCGGCAAGAGGAGCGGGAGCGGGAAGTCGCGATGATGCTAACAATGATGAGCAATTCACGTGGCATGGGGTACGCGGGAGTATAACTGGGGGGTTTTGGAATGTTGCGAGTTTGTCGGGAAAGACAACAGCGCATTATGAGTATCTGACTGAGGCTGCGGCGTGTGTAGCGGGTCGGTGTTTGTTTTTCTGTTTTATCACATATACCCGTGGTGTTGCTCGTTCATGTTATAGGTTTGAGCATGATCAAGACCGAGTCAGCGAGTCAGCGAGTAACTGGCATGATACATAGGGGGCATATACTTGGGGAGTTTAACGTGTTGGCTTTTTGTTATTGGGATGGGTGTACGGTCTTATTGCGGGTTTGGCTTGAGGGTTGGAAACGGGATAGTATTAACATGTTAACATCGCCCAATACGTGTTTTACATCTCACGTCTCGTGTGCGTTTGTTGAGTCCCTTAACTAGGTCTGTCTACCTATCGGGGGGGCATGTATACTTGCGTCCCGAACATGATCAGGGCTCTGTCAAGCATGTCGATATCACCTTCGCCTGATATCAACATGTCACCTACACCTTGATATCATTATGGTCGCGGGAAAGCAGGCAACCTGGATAAAGTGAAAGGGTGGAATCGATGTTGATTGTGAAAAACTAATGCAAATGATGCTTTCTCTGTTGTTAATAAATGTAAACCAGTAAGCGATGATGGTGTATGAATGCCTCCTTTTGTCTTCCCCCAAATTGCTCTGACTGAAGTAAATGCCAGATGACGCCCAAATTCCTCGCGCCTTGGGAGCGTCTTGATATCCATGATACTCGTGAAAAGATGTAACAGGAAAAGATGCCATGAATGATGCATATCCCAAAGATGATAGCCCTCCCGTTTTGCAGATCTCTCAGAACGAGTTGCATGATGTCGGTAACTAAAAAAAGAGTAAGCAAAGCAGAAACATGATGAGATGCGAAGAGCTTTTTGTGTGGTTTCTCACTGCTCCTGAGCACCAGTGATGCTCCCCGCCGCCACCGCCGGTCCGACAGCAGTGGTGTCACCCCCATCTTCACTCGCAGAGAGAGCACCGTTCAGCTTCCTGATCTTCCCCTTGTTTCTCCTCCTCCTGGCCTTTATCTCGTCAAGGATTCCCAAAGCCTTGATCCTCTCCATCTCTTTCTTTTCCCACTCTTCCCCCTCTTCCCCCCCCCCTCTCTCTCTTGTTCTTCAGACACTCCCGAAGCTCAAGGTTTTTCTTGTCCATTGCTTTTCTTATCTTAATCGCTGTTGCAGACAAATCGGGCAAGTCCGTCTGCACCTCCTTCAAAGGCATGGTGCGGACGATTGCCTCCTCCCGGGATGGAGTTCTCGACGAAGTACTCGTTCCTGTGCCATTCTTTCCACCTCGGACGGAGGCGCGCGATGACCACGTGGGAGGTAAAGAGTTTGGACTTGTCGTGGTCCCAAGATGGGTGGGTACTGTCAATGACCGAGATTTTCGGGTTGATGAACGCGTGCTATTAAAAAGACGGCAGTCTGATGACAGCTGTTTTCACAGAGTTGGGCAGCGAAAGGAAGGGGCTCAGCTAGTGGCAAGCCCAGTGGAAGTGCTTCTGCATGAGGATCTGTCGGTTGATCGGGTTCGGACTGACAACACCATACCCGCGGGCTTTGGTGGTCGGAGCAGGACCATCCATCACATGACCGTTGCTTTTCTTGCGGCCTTCGTGGACGACTCGCATGACGAAGCGAGGGCGACGCTCGCCGCCGCAGGTGGGGATGGTGGACTTGACTAGGAGAATGGGACGACCACCGGGGGAAAGATGGGATCCGTCATCACCAACGGGGCTCCTCTTCTTGGTTACCGCCTTGAAAGGGACCGCGTAGGTGGCGGTGAGCTGCTCCGTGGTGGTGCTTCCCTCTTTTCCCCAGATGGATGGGCCTTCACGGAGGCCTTCGTTGTCGCTGTGGTTTACAAAGCAGGCGTCGTGTTTGAGCTCTTCGTACTGTCAACTTCTTTGGCACCGAGACGCATGACCACCACGTGCTCGATTGGGACCACAATTTTGATGCTCTCGTTGTCATCCTTGTCCTCAGACTCGGGAGATGCCATTGCCGCCTCGTCGTTCTTGGCTGGGCTTGGGGGAGCAAAGGCTCCAGCTGACAGCTCGATGTCTTCGGTTTGAGCCATAACTACATCTTGACTGCCTTCGGCGGTGAGAGACGCCATGATGTAGGCTGGTTTCTTGTGTACCTGGCGTTGTTAGTCTCAAGAAACGAAATATCGAGCCCCTATATCCACGCTTCGACTCGAGCCTGAAAGACTTACTAGAACCAAGAGATTTGATCTCACGGAGTGCCAAGTAAGGTCCTAGGCTTGGGAAGATGAGCGACTGAGACGAGACCGTTCGAAGGCAAGAAAACAGTCGTGGGCTGAGGCGTTGAAACAAAGATAAAAGCGAAGATGACTGATATGGATAGCCTCAGATCGTCTTCCTCGAGATGAACGTGTGGAAATCTATCCCGGAGAGTCCGTTGTAGGAGAGAAAGTCTGCAAGAGGGAAGAGGTTCAGCGCGAAAGAGAGACATCGTGAGATTCTGTTCATGCCTGACAGCGAATAGTCGCTAGGTATTCAGCTAGTTACAACAAGAGGAAGCCTGAAAACTAAGGCTGGACTTCATTAGCCCCCTATCAACACGCGACTTCATATCGTAGAGCTCACAATCGCGTCATTCGACTTTCTACAAACTTGACCTGAGGGAAGGAACCATATAGATGGTAGGTGCCGTCCGAACGGTCAAAGGTCTTGTCAAGCTTACCTAGACAGCCACTCCGAGAGATCCCACCATAGGCAAGGGCAAGGGGAAGCTCCCCTACTCAGGCATCAGGCAGAGGCAACAATCAATCATGGGGCATCAGGGCAAGTATGGCGTAATCTCCTATTGTCTAACTTTACAGGCTGAAAGTCGCCTTGAAATAAGAGGAGAATAGCTTGAAACAGTTGCTGGACCCGAGATTTCAAGCTTGCGGAAGGCGCGGTGAGCATTCATGTGTATTCTTCACTCTGTGTATTTCATCATTCAGAGTTCCAAAGTAAAATTAAATGACGCCAAACATAATCCCTTTTAGTCACCAACAACCTGACAGTCTGCCCCAACAGTCCGTTGAAGAAAACCGCCACAATGCCATCAGCAAATGCCCAATTCAACTTCTATCATACAAGCTTTGCTCTCCTCTACTGTCCCAATTTCAACGCCCTGCATTCTCCTTCTCGTGGTAAACTTATTTGGGGTTGTTAGGGTCAAGCTTCCCGCTCGCCTGGTTGGCTCTCGCGCTGGTGGGTGATGTTCCGCTGACGGGCTGCTTGGACGTGTCGTCGGGAACCACAGTTCTCGGGCTGCCCATCATCATGCCGTATGTACCCGCGACTCCGATGATGGCGGCGCCCAGCAGGACGAGTCTGGCCTTGGTGTCAGCAATTCGTATTCCAGTCATGTCTCCTTGTGTCAAAAGCACGTACGATCTGTTGGAGCCGGTAGCTGTCGAGGTGGTTCCATCTGGACCGTCCTTCTTGATAGCTTCGCGTCTGAAGGGTGTGCTGTGGAATTGGCGGGTGTTGCGCACGATGGCACGTCGGGCAAGGACTGTTCTGATCATGGGGTAATTTGTGGTTTCAAGGGTGATTGTGTTGCGATAGGGTTAGGATTGGAGAATACGTCGAAGATGGTTGATGGGATTTGGTGTGCGGAAGGAAAGAAAGAGAACAGATTCTTCAATTGGTCAGTGATTTCGATCGTTGAAGTAGGTACAGAGACAAACAGTTGGGTGTTGAGGTCATACAAATCAATGACGCAATGACATCACCCCGAGTGGATCTCACACCCTTTGGGACAGCGGGATGCTACACGATGGCTCGAGACAGCAGGCAGCATTCAATTTTGGGGGAGTCATAATAAACTGTTATTGCAGTTGGAAGGTAACTTCCCGTTTCTCATCGCCATCGTCCTAGACATGTGGGAAGTTCTGAAGCCACGGTGGCGACGAAAAGACCCCTATCGGCTCTGCCCTGAGATTGATGAAAGACTCTACCACGATGAACACACGCACAAGAACGTATAATGAAAATAGCAAAAACGACCCGCCCCCCAATTTCTTGCTCACAGCTTACCAACAGACCTCCCGCCATCATCCCTGTCATGATCGTCATGCACGAAACCTTCCACAACATCATCTCATTGCTAGTCGCGAACGGAAAGTTCCATGCGAAGAGATGTATCCCGCCATACAGCATGAGCAAAACAAAATAGCCGGCTACCATCAACCAATCGGGAGTGGAGCTTGATAGGAGATATTGAAGTGCTTCTCTGGGTGGAGGAAGGCGGTCTGGTAGTATTGGTCTCTAAACCAGTCATGGATATAACATCCAGCATGGGTGTTCCCCTGCTCCATATCCCCAAGCAATGATTTGATTCCGTCCAACCTTTTCCATTGTGTTGAGCTTAGGCAGAGGGCTTGCCTGCGGGCCTTGAATCCTTCACCGGAAGGTAACACCTCGCCGACCTCCAAGCAGCCCCCTTCAGGAGGTAGTGCAACCCATTTCACGTCATTGACCTGGTTCGTATTGAGATCAGCGAAATAGAAGCTCTGTAATCGTGTCTTGTTATCCACAAAAACTGGATCCTCCGTGGGACAACGACGATACATATATAGGTCGCTGGGCCCATTGATCGTCATCTCGACCATTATCTTAAGGGCGTCCTCCCACGGTTTGGAATCGACAATTGGCCCCTCAGCAACATCGAGAGGTTTCTATTTTGGAAGATCAGCATCCACTCGCCATCTGGAGAGTAAAATGAAAAGCAATGGTGTGTTCTCGTACCTGAAGCCAACACGCATACATCATCAACCCTGCAGCCACAATGTATACGGAGACGTGAATCTTCAACAACGCGAGTGGAAAGCCTTGAGCCATTCTGACAATACAGTGCAGAAAGAGCCAGAACACCTGTGTAAGAGCGACAAACTTCTGGACTATGCTAGCTTTGCTTCGGTCGTCGATCGCCGTGTCAGGAACCCTGACTAAATGCCCCAGTCGAGCAAGCTGGACCACCCCCTCGGGAGATAAAACGGCGGCGGAGTCTCGGAATAATTCTTTGAGTTTGGCAGACTTGTGCAATTCCGCTTCAGTTATGAGATCCCCAACCAACACTCTCAGCCTCCCCCCATAACCACGAAAAAGCAATAGCTCAATTGAGACATCACCAGCTCCGGACTCTGAAGAGTTCAACGCTCGGAGTTCGCGCTGTAGCCATCGGGCCTTGAGAATTTCTCCGCAGGCTATGACGAGCACCACCTCTGGGGCGAAGAGAGCGGTGAACACCCACAGGGTTTTCTTCCAAAACACAGGCCAGTACCCCGTTCTGCCGGGAGCTGGAATGTTGAGGTACAAGGTTGAATACACACAAGCAGCCAGGGCCACCAGGCAGCTCCAGAGAATGCTACCGGTCCCGCGGTATGGGGCGTCCTCTACCCAAGCTGGCGCAATTTCTGTGCGGAGTGCCGTGAAATTTGTTCTTGTGAAGTTCCAAAAGGGGTGCAATGTCGGCCATGGCATTGGATGTCGTTGCGACTGTTGCAGCATCAAGATCGATAGAAGATGGGAAATGATGAGCAGGAATTACAACATCTCAAGCTGGTCGTATCGCTTCAAAATGTGAACACAGAAACCAACATCCCGATCAAAAAAGCGAACCGCAAGGCAGCTGAACACTAAAACCAAAAAGGAACCCAATCGGAAGCTTGGTGTCAAAAACACGCATTTGCACCACAGCACTAACAAGGAATCCCAGACAAGCTCTCAGTTGATATTGGTCTTTTCTAATCCCCTACTCATCTCAGCAACTATCCTCCAGTCTCATCACTTGACCCACGCCACCCCCTAAGCCCCCTCATAAACCCAAACCCCCGCCCACTCAACAACCCTCCTCAGCGAGCCCTCAAGCTCCTCCATGAAATCCTCCTCCGGCGGCCTGCTCGCACCAGCAGGCAACCCGGCCACCATCTTGGCAAACAAGCCCCCAATCGCCTTGGTATACTCGCAATCACCCCCAAACACCTTCCCAGCCTCCTTGCAAGCCTTATAAAGGTACCAATACATAACATTACTGATGTCCACCCGCAAGGGAAACGACGCGTCCTTGAGAACAGGAGAGTCAGGAGGTAGACAGCTCGCCGCGATGAGCACATGAATAATGTCAACCAGAATATTGACAGCATTGGGGCCAGTCCGGCCTCCGCCACGAGCAAAATACCCCCTGAGGCCGTTGCGCAAAGCCGGGGCTGGCTTGCCCTGCTCGAGGTAGAGGACGCTAAGGCAAAGGCGCACCATGGGGACAGGGTCGAGATCGTCACCCCACCCAAAGTTGGGAAAGGCGTTCTTCATGATGGTGTTCATTTTGCTTTCGACAACGGTGAGGTTCGCAAAATCGGGATAGACACCGGGGTACTTGCAGGCGGTGATGGCGGCGCTCTTGATCAGGTCGAGCATGGAAATCTGGGCTTGACGGACAGTAGCCATGCTTGTCTCTCCATCGGCAACCACCCTACGCTTTTGGGCCTCGATCTCGTCTTTGCAGCGGGCACCTATCCTCCTTGTTAGTATCCAACTCTCAGTCTTGTAATCTTTCAAAACTTACAGTCACACTCAAAAAAGTGCTCATCCATCAGAATCTCCCGCCGACTCTTGACATCAATCGTAGGATCGATATAGCAAATGGTAATCTCCTCTCCAGCCGCAATCTTCCTCAGCGACCGGACGCGAATCTCGCCCTTTTCCAAAAAAGCAAAGGCGTTCGGCTCGCAAGAATGGTTGATCATGGCAGTGACAAGCTCCAGCGCAATAGCAACCGTTTCCCTGGAAGAAGAACCCCTCAGGCGGACACAGTTGGTCCAGAGCTATCCCTCACTCATTAGCTCCCTCCCTCCACCCAACAGCCGGAGAGAATTTACCTGCGGCACCAACTTCCAAATCAACCCAACATCAATCTTCTTCTCCCTCCCCTCCCCAGTCACGTCCCTAATCGCCATCGCAACATCATACACCTCGGTCGTCTTGCCCCCCTCCTCCCTAGTGTACTCATCAAAGTGAGCCTCCAACCCCTGAATCACAGTCCCCTGCTCGGTAGTGATATACCCCTTCTGCTGGAACCACACCAGCCGATGAGCCAGCAAGTTCTGCGGCTTAATCCCGGGTGTGCTCTTCAAAACCTTGCACTCCTCCTTGTGAAATCTATTCCAAGCCAACTTTTGGCATTCCTATTCCCAAGTCAGTCACCCCCTCCCAAACTCCATCTTGACTGAACCCACCTTCGAACAAAACCTCCCAAACCCACACCCGCTACAAACCCTCACCCCCCCCTTCACCCCCCCAAAATGCCCCTCGAAATACCCCCCACAAAAATGACACCACCCATCATCACCCGCCCCATCAAAAGCCAGCATCAACGGCTTAGACCTGTAAATCTCCCTTCCAGCCTCAATCCCGTCCTGTTCACCCCGGGAAATAAACAGCCCCGACCCAGTCGAGCAACCCGACGGTCGAATCTCGAGCGGGACGGAAGCAGTGACGTTCCTGCGTGAGAGGATAAACTGGCAGAGTTTAGGTTCGGTGTTGAACCCCATTCGGGGAGGGGCGCGACCGAGGTCATCGTCATCGTTGTTGTCGTTGCTGAAGGCGGCTTGGAGGTCTGCCGGGGAGAGGGAGATGGTGAGGTTTTGGGCGAGGGAGGTGGTTAGATCGTCCATTTTGAATATCCCGATAGGCAGTTTTCTTGACGGCGCTGGGTTGTAGTAGTTTCTGATCGCGGATTGTAGATGGTGTTGGGGAAAAAAAAGTGGTGATGACTTGGGAGAAAATCAAACCGGTGAGATGGCGAGAGAAATAGAACTCTGAGAGCCCGGGGATGAGAGGCTTCAGGGAACTAGGTAATCCATCATTAAGGCAGGTAGAGAAAAGTTTTAATTAGCAGGTCATAGATTGATTTAGGCAGCGCTGTCAGCGACTATCGCACGGGAAGGAAGGAGCAACCCACAAACACGCAGGTACCCGCTGTTTGCTAGCCACCTGAAGATCCCGAGTTGACAGAACCACCCTTTACTTTGGCGAGAAAGAGGACTTGCGTACAAACCACTGAGAGCCTATCCCTAGTTGTAGCTGTTGCGAACAAATTGCAACGAAATAGAACAACAGCATCATCATCCAGCATGAAGAGCCCAACAGGCAACATACGATGGCCAGGTTACCAACCAAGCCAGGTCAATCCAAAATACTTTGTCCTCCCCTTTCCCTGATCAAATCGATGGTACTCATATGCATCAGTGTCAACTCATACCACACCTGTCACCAATCACCCACATGTCACGCGTCCACAACAATGCAAATTGTAAAGCTACTCGATTAAAGTACCTTAGCTACGAAAGTTCCTAACCCTAGTCATTCCCAGCCTCTCGGTGACCTGCTCACCGTGCGACTGGCCCAAATCAAAGCTGCCTGTGAGTTATGCCTCCTTGTAATTGAAGGTAACACATATGTTCAAAACACGACACCAAAAGTGTCCAGGTCATATTTTTCGTCGACGCCCCAGAAATTCCACCCGAACGCACCAAAAGATCCCTCAAGGGCCCCCAAAAGACGGCTCAACATCCTCCTCCAAGATCGCTCCCCTTAAAGTCGAATGACCACCCAAAGCCATCCAGCGCCCCCCCCCCAAAAGATCTTCCAATCCATCTAGACTGTTCTCCAGAGCACATATGTCAATGATATACCTGATCGATTAGCTACAAAACCTCCAAAATACCAACCAAAACGCCATCAAATCATGCTGGTAGAGATATAGGAGGATAGATCACCCTCCATAGCAGATGTTCCTCAACCAAAAGGCAGCGACATCCTTGGGAGCTGCCTCAATCTTGAAGAGCTCCACTTCCTCCTTTTTCTCACCGTCCTCCCTGGCAATCACGAGGTCCAACATCCGCGGCGCGGCTCGGTTGGAAGTGAAGTAGGCCAGGCTACAATCCACCATCCGAATCCACCGTTTTCCAAAGTCCAGCATCAAGAAGATCTGGCTGTTAGCGTCGTCCTCCATGCCGGTGCCGCACGAGAGCAGCCCAATTTCGCGTTCCTTGTTGTCTTCATCCGCTTGGTAGAAGAATGAGAACTTGTCGCCGCACGTCTGAGCCAGTCGTTTGCGCGTCTCGAGAGGGTCCGACCGAGTGTCGTCCTCCGCCAGAATCGTGGCCAGTTTCCAGATGGTCGATGTCTCTGCCGCTTCATCCTCGGTCGTCCCGAGGATCTCCTTGATTCCCCAGTAATTTTTGGGTGCTGGGAGCATCTGTTGGAGGTGACGGCAGAGTTCGCAGATCAGAATTGCCATCAGCCCTTCAGTAGCCCTCACACGCTGTGGTTTGGCCTGGTTGCTCGCGACACACTCAAGGAATGCCATCCCTGCGAGGGGGAACCGAGAGTGATCAGCTGATACTAAACCGCGGGCAAGCTCACCAATCACTTGGCATGTGCTCATGTCATCATGGCCTTCCCGGACTGAAGACAACAACAGACACAGGTGGGTGAATCTTCCTGTCAGGGTCTCCGTCAGGTATGACTGCTGCTCAGTCTGTTCTGCACAATCCCGCCTCCAGACATCTTTGAGCGTCCAAGCATCGCTGATCGAAATCATCTCGGCCCTGGCGTTGTTCAGGGCAGTATTGCCGTCCTGGTCACAGCCCAGACAGCGAACAAACTTGACAATAGTATCAGTAGTCCACTTCTGGCTCGGAGTAATGCTGAACAGCTCCGAGACAAGCGAAACTATCCCCTTGCGCAGATCCTGGTCCTGTTCCGTCGTCGCCATGAGTTCACATCCGGGATCCGGGCGTTCTCTCTTAATGAAAACTGGGGGCTCCTGTTGTGCTGAAAGGCCCAGGCCAGTGCCGTTGTCCCCACGAATGCCATCATCAGAGCTCGCAGCCTGAGGCATTTGAATCTGGAAGCTTGCGGTGGAAACTGCCGACACTGGCGTGTCCGGCAATGAGCTGGTCGCTCTCAAAGTGCTGATCTCGGCCTCTTTGTGAGCAATAATCTGGCGAAGTTTCGTCGACTTGTCCGCCTCTTCGCAGAGCTGGGCTTCTGTCTCGGAGATCTTTCCTTCCAATGCTCGTATCTGGACGTCTCTTGCCTGGACGTCTCCCTGAAGCTGATTTCTCTCCTCTTCCAACCTCTCGACGATGCTTGTTTTTTCTTGGACCATGCTTTGCAGGGTAACGTTGACGGCATAAAGCTGTTTATACCTGTCATCCTTTTCTTCCACCAGGTGCTCCAACTTGAAATTGGCGTCCCGGAGCTGCTTGAGAGCAGTCTCCTTATCCTTGTCCTTGACAAGCAGTTTGTCGACCCGACTCTTAAGGATCGCATTGACGGTGTCACTACCCGGCTTGTCATCAAGTCCTTGGGCCTGTTGTTGAAGCCTCGCTTTGTTCGTTTGGAGGTCTTTCTCGATCTGGGCAATCTTCTCCCCAAATAGCTTCTGCAATTCGATGTACTCAGCTGTCAGCTGCTTGATTCTCTCGTCTTTCTCGCGAACCATGGCTTGGTAGCGAAGGAGCTCTTGGCTCTCGTGATCTGCACTAAGCCGAATAACACCCTGAGCCTGGCCTTCTTGAGGCTGGCTGATACCTGCCGGCTTTGGCATGGAGATAGTGTCTCCTCCTGAACTGGGTACAGAGACTTGTCGAACGACTGGTGTCGTCGAGGAATCAACAGCTGAGCCGGTCGACATGATTTTACCGAGCAATTGATCGATATGCTGTTGGGCAGATTTTGGCAACTGCTCCGTTGATCGCTTCGCTTCATCTGCAGGTGGCATCTTGGGCTCCATTCCACCCATTAACTGGTCGATATCAGGAGCTGCGAGTTCACGATCAGCCGGAGACCGCTGGTTGTTGCCGTTGTGAGCCTTCTGAATCTCCACTATCTGGCGTTCCAGATCTTGTTTCTCGGCTTTGATCTTGTCGATGCTGCGCTGGTGTTCAACTCGAATGGTGGTGAACTTCTTCTTTTGCTCTGCCGCAACACGCTCCAGGTTCTGAAACATGACAAGTTGGTTGTCGTAACTGGCCTTCAAGGCATCGTAATCATTCGAAAGCTTCTCGTTCTCTTCCCGCACCCGGAAGAGTTCCGCACGAGGGTCCTTTTTAGCAGCCATTCGGGCAAGCTTAGCCTCGAGATGGCGAATAGTATCACCCCGCCTGTTCTTGTGAGCGACAACACTGTCGAGTTCCTTTTCAAGCCTCCCAAGGTCTTGCCGAAGATGTCCCATGTCCACCTTGTATCGTTCCTTCTCTGCACTCCAGTTGTGAGAGTCCTGTCGCCACCTCTCAAGTTCCATTCTACAGCCTTTGATTTGAGCGACCTGTTGCTTGCAGGTCTCTTCCAGCTTCCCAATCTGCGTTTTGTAGTCCTCGATCTCCCCGGTTCTGTCCTTGGCAGGGCTTCTTGACGTTCGGTCATCATTCTTCTTGGCCCAGTGTTTGGGGCCCCTTGGCGCCGTCGGCGGGTAGTCTTCCTGTGTCACGACCGGAATCCTTCCTAGTTCCGGCTTGCAGACCTGAGCTTGACCACCTTCGGATCCCACACCAGGACTCTTCTTGTCCGTTTCTCCCTCGCCGATCTGCTTCTTGTAGCCCTCAACCTCGGCAGCCAGTCTACTCTTATCCTCCTCCAATTTGACGATTTCCTTCTTGTAGGAGGCCTCGATGTCTGCGGCTTGCTTGGCGCAGTCCTCCTCAAGCTTGTCCGCTTTCTTCTTGCAGATCTCCGTTTCCGTGATCTGTCTGCTGAGGCGCTGGTCCAGCTTACTGATCTTCTTGTTCTGACCATCCACCTCGGCCGCCTGCTGGCTGTTGTCACTTTCCAACTTGGCAATCTGCTTCCTGTAGACCTCCGCCTCATTCTCCAGCTTGGTGACCTGTCTCCTGAACTTGTCCGTCTCCTTCTTGAACCCTTCCATCTCCTCCGATTGCGCCTTGTAGTCCCTCTCAAACTTGTTCAGCTGCCTCTTAAAGTCCATCGTCTGGCCGTGGAGCTCCCGCCTCCTGGCATTGATAAAGTCGCAAAAGCTCTCCACACGCCCTAGCTCGCTCAAGGTGGCCGTCACAAGAGGATGCCACGTCGCCGTCACAGGTCGCAGGTTGGGCAGCTCGAGGAACTCCCAAAGCTTGCGGAACTCGTGCCTGACACGATCCATGACCCAAGGCGTGGCCTCTGGAAAGTAGTCCGGGAACGGCATATCACCCCGGAAATCGACATCGGCCACGCCCCTTCCACCACCAGTGGCCCTCTCCTCCACTCCAGCCGAAGACTGACGACGCACTTGGTAATCTCCCAGCTGTGCTGGAGGGCCTCTATTATCCTCCTCCTCCCTAGCGGACGAATAGTGGCGATTGCCAGCCGAGCCCTTGATGGCGATCCCATTGCCGGAGGGAGGCTCGGGCTTGTGCCGCTTCGGCGACGGAGAGCGCGCTGGCCTGTACGACTGAGATTCGGGCCTCACCCAGGGTTCCGAGCTGTCAGTAGTAGCGTGGGCTTCGGCACGCCGCTTCTTGTTTGGGGGTCGGGCCTTCGGTCCAGTAGGCGGAGGCCTGTCGCCCCATTCGTGAGCTCCTTGTCTACTCATCGCATGGAGTAGGGCGTATCTTATCTCCAGGCGTGTGTCCAAGGGGAAAAAAACAAGGTAAGGTCAAGATAAAGTTGTGTGTCGGACAGACACCATGTGGGCCTAAATAACGTTTGGAAGGGACCCCCCCAAAGAAGGTGGAGATGATGTCTCCAATTATTGTTAGCACGGGACTTGGGCCTCCACACCACCAAGACTTAAAGCCTCTAATATACGATGTACCTGAAGTGGTCTGCTTGATGAATGCAGAGGGGGGTTTTCCTGGTGAAGTCAGCAGTTAGCTGGCCTGTTGAGAGACTGGGTACATCAGTTCGGGTATCTTGGAAGTTATCTCAGACGCTCAGGATGCATTTTGGGGATTGTACTCACCTGCGGGTAGCGCACTAACAATCCTCCAAACCTCCAACTCAGAAAGCGGAGATGGGAATCTGGCGCCGCTGATAGGGTGCTCCCTGCAGGAAAAGCCCGACAACGTGTCGTTCTTGCGAGATGTTCACGTTCGATAGCAGGAATCTGTGTTTGGTTGAGAAAGTCAACTAACTCGCTCTGACTAGGCAAAGCAAGGCAAACAGACTCAATTGTTGCTCTTCCCCGGCTAGTGAAAAGGGTCTGTGGTCTGGACTCCACCACACACGCCCACAAATGCTGCAGAAGAAAACACAGAATCTGAGATGTCACCAAACGACACGGCTAAAAACACACCCTTTCTTGGCACTCTGGGTTGATCTGGGTTGATCTGGATTTCTTCGCATAGCTACCTGCACGAATCCACCAAACCAAACGAAACAAGTCCAGTCCTAAATCCTCTCTTTCTCGGAGCTACCGTCTCCCTCAAGATGCGAACGACCGCCCAGAAAAAACCAAACCTCGCATGGGGTGGGTATCTTGAACATATCCCATTACTCCAGCTGTTGCCCGCGATGATGTGTAGTCGACAAAAGAAAACCCTTTCCCGAAAGACCCTGTTGTTTCTTTTTTTTTGCAACCAACTCCCCCCATGTTGTCATCGTCATGTTCGGCAAGCATAAGCCGTCACCGCCCCGACGGGCAGTGTCGTCGTGGTTGTAAACACTCCTGGTGGACCGTACCCCGCCAGCGCCGTCGAAACCACCAAGCTGGTACACCCACTGCAGTTCACCGATAACGTTGTGGTGGTATACCTGGAGTACTTGGTCGACGTCTTCCCTGCTGACTGCGGAGGCTGAAGAACCAAGGTCGTTTGGCAAACGTCAGGCTGTAAATGTCCACCCTCCCCATGTCCATCACTCGGGCTTCGAAGCTCTACCACCGGCTTGGGGAAGGGCGTGATCTGAGCAGCAGCCGGAATAGGGACCTGGTCCTGACTACCGCCAATGTTGTGGATGTTTGGAGTCTGAACAGCGGGGATATCATCGACGGCCGTTCGCTTCGCAAAAAGGGCGGTTGGCTTGCAGATGGTGCTCCAGTACGTGCTGGCCGTGTTGACCCTCTCGGTCTTGTTGATCACCATGTTTGGGCACGAGGAATAGTCCTTCCAAATGATGATATTCTCGCAACCATTGCAATTCACTTCCTTATAGAGAGTCGTGGTGGTTGGATAGATCGTCTGCGTCCCAGACCAGGAGCAAGGATAGACCCAGGACTCATACGAGGTGGTTGTGCATCCCTTCTGTGGGTTGGCTTTGATGGGCGGTTCGATATCGATAGCTCGTCTTGTTGGTACTGGCGCCGGTGTCGACTCCAAGGGTATGGGCGTCAGTACGGGCCTGGTCGGTCTGACGGGTGGTGTTGTCCAGGTGGGCAGAGGAGCCAGGACCAACTCGTTGTCGCCAGCAAGAGCACCTGCTTCGCGGGCTTTGACTTGCCCGTCTCTCGGTGAGTCTGGGGAGGAAATAGGAGAACCAAGAACAAATGCGAAAAGGACAAACGACAGAAGACCAAGAAGAAGTCTGGGAAAGGCGGCCATGGTTCCGTCACGGCAGCTGTGATGTTGACTTGTCCCCGAAGCCGAATATGCAAATGAGCCGCTTCCGGTCCAGGCCACGGGAATCGAGAAGTCAACAAGGTTGCCCAGAGCTTTATATGACTCTGATGGACCGGCCCAAACGTGGCGCGGACATGTGCTCCCGGGTCAGCAGACTGTTAAGTTAGTGTAGTCCAGGAACGAGATGGCAGGGCAGGGAGGCGGCGGATGTCAGCGTGGAAGTCTGGACCGTTTGCAAAAACCGGTCCCCGGGAGTGTTGCAATCGCCTATGCAGTGCATCTCAGTTTGACCGCAATATTGCGCCGCGACGTGACGTCGTTCCTTCTCCCCATCGGCTTGTGGGGCTTGGGTTTTTCTGATGAAGAACCCCGGGCAGTGGAATCACGGGCGCGGAGGAATGGGAAAGAGCCCACCTCACCCACGTTCACGGTCAAGCTGGAAGCTCCCAGCTGAAAAGGGATGAGAAAAGTACTATCCGCGTCTGGCCGAGGGTGGGCTCCAAAGAAAAGTGGCCTGAAGAAGGCAATATGAGTAGATGAGCAAGAACGACACGCCGTCAATTTTTGGAAACAAAAGCAGGGGGGTTGTATTCGGAGCCGAGACCACGAGTCCGCTATATTGCCCGCCATGCTATCTTTTTTACTTTTTCTTTTTCGCTCGGTGTATCCTCGCCGTGAAGATGGTGGGCAGGCCTAGCACCCATTGGGATTCGGTACCTCAGAGAGAGGGTTGCGCTGGCCCGTTGTTCCCGGATAGCGGAGAGCACCTCTGCTTGGCTTCCCCCAGCGGGTGCCCACATGAAGAGAAAAGGGCTATGGAAGCAAAGCAAGCAAGGCTGGGCAAATCAAGAGCCATACTAACACTGAATTGGTGTTCTGTCCGGTCATTGGGCGGGTAAATGAGAAAATGTACGAATTCCGTCCGGGTGCCCCATTCTATCCACGGTTAATAAACGAGATAGTGGCACTTAGCTGCTTGCCCACGCTTATAATCATGGCTCATATTGCCACCAGCACCCAGAGAACGGGAATAGAATTGACTGTTCTTTTCTGAGCTCGACGTCGCACTGGGACAATTGGCTGAGAGCAGCAAATATGAGAGATATGAGAGGCCAGATATTTGGCATCGAAAATAGAGCCTGTCAGGGTCTCGGGGTTTGGAAGCGGAGAAGGGCGGAGCGCGAACTGCTCCATGGATACTCTCTGTCAGGTAAGAGCAGCCGAGCACCATCCGCTGACCAGACATGGCTCAGGACTGGAGTACCGACCATATTGACGCCATCGCCGTTCTTCGGTGTCCAAAAAGATGCAAGTCTTGTTCGGACGAGAAGCGACGAAGGAGGGTAGAAAAGGAGCGGAAAACCTCCCGAGATGGACGAGGTTGCACTGTCTGCCAAGACGGGAGTCGATTGCGGGGACAGCACCCCAGCAAGAAGCCAAAAATAGACGGGCAAGGATTCTGCTTCTTCTTCTGGGGTGTCCACTACTAGCAAATATTCAACTTGAACATTCCGCCATTCTCAGAGAGAGCCGAGCAGACGGAGTATCTAGGGAAAATCAGACCTTAGTCAGACCGGAGATACACTTTGAATAGGTACCCAGGTAGGCACTTCCATTACCACCACTTGAGCCAGGAGGTGACCTATCAACCACCGAACATTCTCCATATCCAGCAAACCCCCAAGTCCGGTCGCCGGTCAAAACTATCCACAACCTTCCCTGGTTCAACCGCCATCCGATTTCTCCTTCTGACCAGACCTACATAACACTGAAGTCCTGCCGTCACCTTCCTCTCTAGTCAACGGGCCTTGACCAAACATTGCTCCCACCACCCCACTGGATCTACAGTTCCATGGCAGTGAGTGACGTTTTCCCAGAAAATCAAGCACGCTTCAATTGCATGGCGGCCGCGGCACGCGGAATATGCCATGCCGCCTGCATCCCCCTGTTATTTCTGCATTGCACCGCATTGCACATCGCCGTGGCATGCATTCGACAGCCCGTCGTTCCGGTGCGGGCTGCTGGCTTACATGTAGATCTCCACCACCACAAACCGGGATCAAAGGACCCCGAAAAGGGGGAACACCACTTACACATTGAGTGGTAGTTCATGGAACATGATCACGAGTAAACTTTCAGTCAGACTAAGGGATACACCCCGTCAAACCCCCACCCATGGCGTTAAACAAGGTTCACCCACATCTCAAACCATGTTTCTACAACTCACACCATGTTTCTACTCCTCTCGGGCCACTAGACAACCCCCCGCCAACAAGCCCTTACAATCACACAGTAACACGTCCCCATACAACACTAGCCCAGATCCTTTCCTCCGCCTTACCATCCATCACCACTGCAACTATCACCGTATCATCATCACCTTCACCATCGTCTCAACCGTGACCTAACCCTGTTATCAACAAGACTCCACTCGCACATCACAGACATATAAAATTTTATCAGCAAAATTTTCCTCCTACGAAATGAGGTGGATAAAAAAAGGTTTGGTGAGGAAAATAAAAAAGGGAAAAAAGCTGGCTAAATATAGGAAAAAAAACAAAAACATTGCAACGACCCTGCCCCGCTTAAAAAAAAAATGGTTTAAACAAAATGGTAGAGCCCTAAACCTAGGGATGAGAGAACATGAAAATTTCCCAAAAAAATTTTAATTTCGAATTGAAATTTTCACTAAAAAATTCGTGGAAAACCATCCCATTTTGACCCCACCCCCTTTCCCCCTCAATTTTTTTACCTCTTAGACCCCCCCCCCCCCCCCTTAACCCCCGTAAAACACTCCAACCCCGTCTCAGTCCTCACCTCACCAACCGTAACGGTCGTCCTCGCCTCAATCACAACCCCCGGCCCGCCCACAAGCACAACCTTGATGTTGGGACACTCACACGCAACAACCCTCGTAGCCCTCACCGTCGCAGCAAACACCGTCGCCGTCTGAAAGCCTGTCATCTTGCTAAAGATCGTCTCTGTTTGCGTGCAGCCCCCCGGCGGATCCGCAGAGCGGAACCACGATATGGATGGAAACGGCCTGTAGCCGGTCCATCCTGGGCGGTTCGTTGCCGATGGGAGAACAGCGGTGGGCAGCTCGGGTTCAAATCCGGCTGTTGGTGTTGTTGGAGCGGTATCGACTTCTAGGGTAGGTGAACAAGATGAAACAAACTGAACCGATGCCGGTGGTAGTGGTGCATCGTCCTCGTCATCGTTCAGTAGCTCAGTGTCAATGGTCTTGATTCTGGTGAATCTGATCCTTGTTCGCAACAGGGTTGTCGTTCGGGTGGGCTCCTCCATCGTGGTCACCGGCGCGCCGTTGCGGGGAAAGGACAGGACAGGTCCTGTAACGGTGATGAGCGTAGATATGGGGAGGTGGTGGTGGATAGTGGTGACCGAGCAGAGCGCTTTGGTCTCACCGTTCTCGCCCTCAGCTGAGGAGGAGTAAGGGCATTCCACCATCTCTGCAGGAGGTGCTGTGAGGTGGAATCTGTAAATGGACCGAGTGACAGTAAGCTCTAGTGTAGAGGGCGATGATGTGATGGTGAAAGCAGCAACCGAGACCGAAGTTGGTACCACAGGTGCGATTAACCTCGTCGCCGCCACGACTGAGAGTTCTGAATCTGCAGGCGAGGTGCTGGAACTAGCCGTTGCAGTTGATGAATCGAGGCTGCTGGTTGGCAATGCAAGTGAGGAGGTTGGGATTGGCGGTGAAGAGGTGGGTATTGGCAGCGAGGACGTGGTCGTTGGCACCGACAAGGTTGGCTTCGCTGCAATGGAGGAGCTTTGGGGTGTTGATATGTAACTCAGTATGCTCGGGCTGGTAGATGGCACTGCGGTTGGCCACCACAGCTCTTCACCACCGAGGTACTCGCAAATCTCAGGATACTTGTGTGCATAGGGCCCAGCACACAGCTCTCGAAGCTTCTCCAGGACCTTTGGGACATCTTCCTCTGCCGCTGCCAGCACATCGATTGGATTGGAGTTGACCGTCACGACGGTCCTAATCGGATTCGCGGTCCATGCAGCGAGTTCCTGAACGTCGGGGCCCGTGGTTAGTGGGAAAGATGTCGGTGTCGACAACAAACTGCTGGCAGCGACAGAGGTAGCCGCCACAGTCGCGGCCACCGCGAATATGGCCGTGATCATGGACGTTTCATGAGCGACAAGGCCGTGCCTGGACAGAGAAGAGGTCGGGGGATGGCGACACGCATCGCAGGTTGCGGTATCGTGGTGGACACCCCCTAGTGAACCCCATATTTACTCGTATATAGAGTGAGTCTTGTCCGGAAATCGACATCCTCAAGACGCCACGGCTGTCGTTGACGCCTCCCATCCCATCCACCGCTAGAGGAGGTGGACACGAGCTTTTCTGTCGTGGCGTGAGGGGTAAAAGCCCGAACCGGACTTCAGTGGCACTTTTACAGCTGGTCGACTGCCCACCGAATGTGTTCTAACGGAATGTATCAGTAATTGCACACGCCAAAGCTGGATGACCGGAAACCATACTGGGGCTCTGGTGGAAAAGGACTGCTGGCATGGATCCATCACCACATGGTGGCGTCCTCGTGGCTCTTCAGAGGCGTCGTGATGCATGGCATGGACAGATAAAAAGGCGCTTTCATCTGGCCGGTCTCATCACGTCCCTATAAAAAAGTCGGCGTTGTGAAAGTTAAAGATGGAGTCGAAGCCTTGATCACAGAGCTGAAAAACTCCACGTTAGCAACAGTCCCCTTGACAGTCTTGCATTCACCACTTACCGAGCCTTCGCTATCCCACCCGTAGCTGTAATCCATCTTGGAGTCTTCGAATGGGCTTCTCCCGGGTCCGTATCCACCATTCAATGCAGCCCCGATCATGGAAAGAGGTAGCTTTCCGCCAGCAGCCTCCTGCAGCAGGTGCCAGCACTGGCCCAGCTCATCTGCGATGGAAGCCAGCACCTGCTCCTCCACCTCAGCATCAGAAGCGCCATTCTGCAGAGCCTGGACCTGACTCCAGAGAGCAGAGTACATGAGATATCCCTTGATATTTGTCTCTCCCATTCGGATACGGCGCACTGTCCACCCGATGGAGTACTTGACAGCGTCGAGCAGATCCTGGCGCGGGGCAGCGCCACTCCCAATGCTAAGGGGACCCGTTGTGCCCAAATCCGCCTCGGAACCCGGCCTTTCAAGCACATGGTCGAGGTTCATACTCTGGCGGAATAACCGGTCCTCCTGCACCTGCCACAACAGCTCCAAACAAATGGTCAAAACAGCGAGCGTGGGGACTGACCGGAATGCCCCATACCCGCAGGTGGACAACCTCGTAAAGTCATCAGTTTCCCGGGCGGTCCCCGAGTCCCCAGCCGGTGACCCGGTAGCAAAGGCCCGATACAGTTTCAACGATGTCTCTACACACATCTTGCGTGCAAAGTAGTAGGCTGGATTATGCTGCGCGGACCACAGCCATGGGTGATTCAGAGCCAGAAAGAAACGATGCACCATATGCTCGGCCACTCGAAGCTGAAACAAAGACAGACGCCTCGGGAGGATGCCAGCAGGATCGTACGACTGCTGGAGTGTGGCCGATAGTGCTCGACAGGCGGCGGTGAGTTCCGTGTTCCATTTCAGAGTCTCCTCGTACGTGGCTGGCGCTTTGAAGTGGTTAACATACTGCGCAATCGCCAGTCTAGTCGGAAACGACCGTAGGAGAGCGAGCTGGACTGAAGTTTGTGTAAAGGTCCCAGGAGATCTGGGGTTTGGAGGAGGTTTATCGTCCTCGCACAGCTGGTCGTCGTCGTAATTACTTGGCGGCCGAGTATCATAATCAGACACCGATATCAGGGGCGGACCACCAGAGTCCAAGCTCGACTGCAGCGTCATTTCCAACACGGTCGCCCACAGCCGTCTCCTCATCTCTGCCCGAAACACCGACATGACAGGCAAGCTATCCGGGTCACGGTGGAGTCCCATGTACATTGCCGTCCGCAACAGAGGCCCGGCGCTGATCCAGGTCAGGTCACACTCGACACCGCATGTCTCTCTGGCAATGTGCAGCAGACACATGGTCTGAAGGCCCGACATGTTCAACCTGACCTTCTCACAGGGCGAGGCGAGCCAGGCCTGGGCCTCGTATATCCACTGGGCAGCAGACGGTCGGAGAGCAGCCACATCATCCTGGAAGCACGTGCCAATGGCCATACACAACTGAAACTGAGCAATGAAGGCCGGGCTTGCTGCCGTGCGGTTCTCCCAGAAGTGGTTGTACTCTCGCCAGAAGCTTGGCTGGTGCAGGATTCGGTAGACGCTTTCAAAGGTTCGGAAATACGCCTCCACCAACCGACGGGCTACGCTCTCATGTGGAACGTCGCTGCCGAGCTGGAAGCCAACATGAGGAAGGACCTTTTGAGATTTAATCACCCTACAGAGATCTTTGCACTTCTTTAAGAGAAAGTAGATGTCTGATTCTCTGTCCGATTCAATCCTCTTGGCAAGATTGATGATCAGGGGGAACTGCAGCAAAAACATCAGACCAACCAGTCAGCCAACCAGCAAATGTTCACGTCATCGAACTTGGAGTGGAGACAGGACCCCCGGGGAACCAAAGGAACAGAAACAACGGAACAGCTACTCACAAATTTATCCCCATTTGCTAGGCAGGTCTTGGAACCAGAACCCTGCGGACAATGCAGAGGTACGTGTGCATTTTGAGAAGTGTGTTGAGGGCGATCTGGATTCCTGAGGGCCTCGGCGAGTTGTTGCTCAAGTTGTTGGACCCTCTCGGCAAGTGCAGCCGTGCTGTTTCCGAATCCTGATGCCGAGTGGCTGGGGGTCAGTTCAAGGTGCCGAATGGCCGGGGTCGGGGCAGACACGGGCTCTGCCGTCCGGGCTGTTAGGATGGTATTGGTGGAGGTGGTGGTTGTTGCTGAGCTGCTCCTTGGTCCTGGGTCTCGGTATGATGTTGGGTGGGAGGGAGGACTGAGGGCAGCGATTGTTGCTGTGGTCGTGCTGGTGCTGGTGCTGGTGCTGGTGTTGGTGCTGGTGCTGGTGGTAGAGGCACTGGATGATGTGGTAGCGGTACCTGCGGCAACGGCTGTGGTGGTGTTGGCGGTGGCGGCACTGGTAGCGACAGGTCCAGGAACAGGCGCAGGGGCTAGTGACACTTCTTTGTACGTGTAACCGGAGTCGGCGGCCAGCCGTTGTTCGGCAGTTGGGGAGTTGTCGGACTGAGCCGCAGCTGGCGCCGGGGAAAGCCTCCAGAGCCGGGGCTTCGGGCGCCGGGCTTCCTCATACGTGCAATTGACTATTTTGGACTTGAGGCAGCTGGCGCATGGCTCATTGCGATCGCAGCGAATCTTGCGTGTTCGGCACTGGATGCACGAGAGGGCCGGACGGTTGCGCCGTCTGGGCTCGGTGAGCTTCCCGTGCCCGCCACCACCACCACCGCCAGCAGCGAGGGCACCACCGGTGGGCGTGGATGGCGCAGGTCCAGGCGGCGTCGTTGCGGCTTCCCGGTCTCTGTCCGTATCCACGTCCATGTCCATATCCATCCTGTCAACTAACTGCTCGGCGTGGAGCCCGCACAAATGCGCGTAGGTAACCTGGAAGGTAGGTGGGAGGTGAGATGTCAGAAAGTTGTTCGGTTAGGAGCACCTCAAGGCAGGACAGGACCTATGTCAGGTTGGTATCGGTCGTCGGCGTTGGTGCCCTGTGTCGGGGTTGAGGAAGAATGGGAACCGAGCGGGCGGTTTGCCGAGGGAATGACACCAAAGCCAAAAGAAACAAAACGGTAAAAATGATCGAGGTGGACTGGACAGGACAAGACAAGACAAGACAAGACAGGACAGGACAGGACTGGGCAGAAGCAAGAGGATCCTCGACAAGCAAGCAACACGCTCGCCCCGGCCCTTCGAAACTCCAATGAGCCTCACAGGGTCAAGCACAGGTAGGAAAACTCACGGGCATGCGACTGGCAGTGGGCAGGTCCGAGGTTTTTCGTCGCAAAGAGCCTGGCTTGGCTGCACTCCCACGCCCACGAGGATGGACTGCGTCAGATCGGCATCTCGGACAGAATGCGGGGGGCTGGAGCTAATCACCGATACTTGCCTGTTATGGGCTAACGTCGGGCACGAAATTCCGGGTATTGGGAGGGGGGAAAGGCGCCATTCTTTTACTCTCTTTCCTTCAAAGGTACGGATACTCCGCGCGTGCGATATTACCCAGCTTCTCCGGACCTAGCACCCAGCCCTGCCGTTGGAATGGACCAGGTAGGTAGGTAAGGCATGTAAGTACCTGCATGGCCGGCCAGTTGCACCCTGACTGCCTGACCTGAGCCACCTGCTTACAAACTTTAAACTTGTCAGCGGGAGCACGTTCTGTCCGTTTCCCTAGAAGACGCTTTCTTTTGCTTCCATGTGATTGGAGACCGAGCTTGTCCCTTTCCCGAGCACACGGAAACACCCGCCATCGCGCCCCCCAAACCGGTAAAACGGGGGGCTCGTCCACTGCCAAGAGTCCCTTGAATTCCTGCAAATCCCCAGTTTTCAGTGGGGCCATTTATCTCCGTTGCCGACCGGTTGGGTAGCACGGGAACAGGGGATCCGAGCCGAAGCCCAGTATCGGCTCGACGGCTGAGAATTTGTCGTTTTTCTCTCTGAAAGACATGTAGGTAACGGCCTCCGAACCACGACGAAGAGATTTCCGCCCTGCTCACATCAGCAGGGCAGCCACACACACACTCGACACACCGCCATGCCCATCATGGAACTCACGGTCTATCGTCTGTATCGATATGCACATAGCTGTACAAAGCAGGCACAGCACCACTTGATAATCCTCACCCGTTTCTTCTACTCAGATTCCAGCTACCTTATATTACAACCCAACCGATACCATCCAATCTCATATGCAAACGACCTTGTTGATATTTACTGGCAGCAAGTGAGGGAATTCCGGCATCGCAACCACCCAGCGCAGCAGTTCCCCCACCTGTCACATCGTGGACATCCGGAGTTACTTTGCACATACCGGCCGGAAATGTATACTTACCATCCAGACACTCATTCATTTCATCATGCCAACTACAAACCCCAAAATATCCTCTCTCCTTCTCACACAATCCCATCCGACATACCTACTACCTAGCATGAGGACTAGGTAGATACAAACATTCTAACCAACCCCCCCCC